TATTGCATAAAGCAAAAATAGTTGCAATGGACTGATGAGGTAGCAAGGAGTTTTCAACTCCTTAAGGAAAAACTCATTACTGCTCCTGTATTGGCACTACCGAACTTTGAGAAGCTATAGAGGTGGATTGTGATGTCTCTTGTACTGGCATTGGAACGATATTATCATAAGAGGGCAAACCAGTGACCTTCTTCAGTGAGAAGCTTAGTGAGCGAGACAGAATAAGTAGGAGTTCTATGTAGTTGTCAGAGCTTTACAACACTAGCAACATTATTTAATTCAGAGGGAGTTCATTATGAATACCAGCCATTAAGCATTGAAGTATCTCAAGAGTTCTACTACCCCCAATCGTATACATGCTCGATGGATTGCTAAGATTCAAAAATTTACTTTCACCCTCAGGCATAAGTCGGGCCAACTAACTAAGGTGGCTGATGCATTGAGTCGTCGTACTATGTTGCTAACTACTATTCGCATTGAGGTGATTGACTTTGACTATTTGAAGGAGTTGTATGCAGAGGAAGAGGACTTCTAGCAAATTTGGGCCTAGTGTTTAGATGCATATAGGGTCTCGGAAGATTTTCATATCCATGCTAGTTTCTTGTTCAAAGCCAATTGTCTTTGCATTCCCCGACCTTGCACGAGCATATCATCTAGGAATTGCACAATGGTGATTTAAGAGGACATATGAGCAGAGATAAGAGTATTGCATTGGTGAAGGAACATTATTTTTGGCTCCAGTTGAAGAGAGATGTGGAGTGGTTTGTCAAGCAATGCTACACATGTCAGAATGCCAAGGGACTTGCACATAATATTAACCTTTACACTCCTCTTCCCATTCCAGATGCACCTTGGGAGGATCTATCCATAGATATTGTTGGAATGCAAATTCCAAGAGTCATTGATAGCGCTTATGTATCAAATATCAAAATTTTTCTTTAAAACTCTATAAGACAGAAATAGGGTTTACCTTCAAAATCTCTTGAGATTGATATCGTCTCAGCATGAATGCAGAACTGAAGGATAGCTCGACGAACCTCGCGGCCTTCTGTCATATATCCTCCAACATTAGAATCTGGATGCAGTGTTGGCTACCAAGGCCTCCGAACTCATGTTCTCTCTTTCAGCCTCTCTAAAAAATGTTAGTAAAGAATATTTGTTGAATTAGAGAGCCTAGAAGTCTATATATAGACTACGAAAGAAACTCTAAGAAAAAATAAGAACTGGGCTTCCAATGGGCTTAGGATTCCTATGTTTAACCTAGAACAAATATCCTACAACTTATTAATAATAAGTCAACCTACTAAAAATTTATTATTGATTTCCTGAGCCTTATCTTAAAATTATATTCGACATTCTTATTATTATATGCTTAATAATCTCCCCACATTTAAGATTACAGATGTCCATAAATTAAATAAATTACTGTCAATTATATTTAATTAACTTCTTTTATTCTTTGAGATCTTACCACTCAACTTATTTGTCATGCTGAATAATTAAATCCACATGCAGGGTTTGACATAAATAAAATTTATAAGCTTCCTCAACAGGACATCATCAACCCATTTAAATACTAGGACGTGGTTTCCTTTAATATTTAATTTTCACCATACAAATAGCATCGTCTTCCAATACACCAAATTCATTGACTCAATATGAATCTCACCCTTTGATGAATTAAAGTGACAGACATTATATACACGTGACAATTAAATATTTTGGGATTAAGAGCATAAACAATCATAATAATCATGAAATATTTATTATCTTATTGAATCAGTAAAAAATAATAATCTCAACATGTGTCTGTTCAATACACAAAGTGTACTAATGCAATAATTCAAGACATCAAACAGTCAAGACAAACTATGCTAGAATATTACATTATAATTATATTGATGGTGTATCCAATTCTACTTAGGATTGTAAACACATACTCATATTATACAAGGATTCGATAATTTGGTCTTCTGTGCATAAGCCGAACTCTACACACTAGATTATCTACCATGTAAAATATAAGACACACATGCATACCATAGATTAAATATAATGCAAACATATTGCCTATATAGATTCTCAATAAAATGGAAAGAAAAAAAACTTCTATTAATAAAATGAGTTTCACTACAAAAAAAAACAAGTTTTTAATACACTAATCTATCACTTCTACGGACTTAACATGGTATGTATTCTATTTATGTTGTGATCAATAAGTTTTCCAAAATGATGCACTTCATCCCATGGAGGAAAACCTTAAATGCTACTCATATTTTTCACTTGTTCTTTTAGGAGATTGTTCATTTGCATGGTATCTCCAAGTCCATTACTTAGTACAATAGCTCGAGACATCCTCAAATTGATGGACAAAAATAGGTGGTAAACTGAACATTGAGGAATATCTTGTGGAGCCTTTGTAAGGAATATGTGAGATAGTGGGATAATACTTTATCCCAAGCACAATTTGCTTGCAAAAATGTGTCGAATAGATCCATTGACAAATTCCCATGTTAAATTGTTTACATTCGAGCACCTCTACACACACTTGATCTGGTTCCATTACAAAAACTTTAAGGGATGAACATTATGGTTGGACACATGTTAGAGAATGTGACATATGTACATGCGGAGGTGAAACATCAGTTGGAAGCATCGATAACAAAGTATAAGGAAGCAACAGACAAGCACCAATGACAAAAGCTTTTCAATGTTGGAGACATGGTTATGGTGTATCTATGCAAAGAAAGGTTACCCATTGGAATGTACAACGAGCTCAATCAAAAGAAGATCGGGCCATTCTAGATTTTGATCTCCTAGTAGATATGAGTATCTCTAGCACCTTCAATGTTAAAGAATTGTTCAAGTTTCATTCAATTTCGTTCAAGCTACTACATGTTAACTCAAGGAAAATTTCTTTTGAAGAGGAAAGGACTAATGTAGAATAGGGTGCAGGCTTGGATCCATCTTGATCTTGACCTAGTTTTGTAATAACCCCAAATATTATAGATTATAGATATCCAACTTTGAGCGCAACTTCTAGAAGTGTGTAAAAGGATATTAATATGAATAGTTAGAAGATGTAGTTATAAGATAATAGAAGTATTAATATGAGTAGGTGGAGTTAGTAGAGATATTTAAAAAATATATTAAATTAGGTAGTTGGGAGAGGTAGAGTTATTATAAGTGGTAGGATGCATTAAATATAAGTAGTTGGGAGATAGTCGAAGATCACTATATGAAGGTTCTTTGTATAACCAAGTGAATCATTCAAGTTTTAGTATTAATACATTTTGAGGGTTCTTCTCTTATTTTCTCTGTGGATTTAAAGTGTTTGTGTTTTTTGCACTTGAAAACGGTGATTTTCATGTGTCTCTTTGTCTACTACTGCTCAAACTCTTTGTTGCATAAGTGATGATAGATGGCGAAGATATTCTAATTCATACTTTGAAATGATTATCTTCTAAGTATAGTGCTTTTTGGACATTGATTAGAACTCATTCACACACAATCACTCTTGAATAACTTCATGTTATGTTGAAGGTTGAAGAAATTGACAATTCAAACCACAGTCAAGGCACAAACAAGTTCAGACATACCTGCTACGATGAATACCTATCAATTTAATTCTAACTCCTACAAATGAAGAGGTTGTAACAATGGCAAAATCAGAGGTAGATTTGGCAATTAAGGTGGACAAGACAGATCTAAATTCACCTGGTCCATGCACATTGTTCTCTCCTAGAGGTTGGCTGCCTATCCTAAATCTTCCCATTTCCAAGAAGATCCTAGGCTCAATACGGTTTAGTCCACCCCTAATTTGATCAAGGTTGAAAGCATCGACATGCACGAAAATAGAAGGAATGCAGACGCTGTGCAAAAAGATGTTAAGTGGCAAACTTCATGCATGAGAACAAATGGAGAAGGTTGAAAATGGATTAGGATGCCCCGCCTAATTTTAATCAATTAATTGGATCTAACTTTAGATGCAATATGTAATATTTCAATGCTTTAAATTTGAACATATACAAATTTTCATTTAGATTGTGGTTCAATCCAAATTCTCCTCATACATATATTTTGCCTAATGAACTTGACCATTGTTTTGATAAAATTGAATCAAAATTCATAAGTAATTTGGTAAATCCAACATCAATTAAATTATTTGGATAGGATATTCGGGATCCAAATTATTTTCATCATACTTTTTTTTTTTCACAAAATTTTACTAAATAATAAATCATTCACATTGTATGAGGATGTGCCCTACTTGTAGTGGGTTCCACAAAATTGACTTGTTATTTTTCATCCTCATTTGACATGTCATCAACTAGGAGCTATTCTATGATATTGAAAAAAAATAAATTTTTGGTATCATTTATAGATTGAAACGTCAAATTTTTTTATTATTTTGTTATTTTTACATCCAACAATTATAAATAGGCCATATCTAAACATGACAATCATTTTTTGATAGAGTATGCAAAAAAGTTTATATTCAAACAATTCAAATCAAAATCAACTTCATACGTAAGGCTTTAATATCGTGTCAAAAAAGTGATTTGATTTTAAATTAAAGGATTTACATTTATTAATGAAAAAATAATAAAATAATAAAATAAAAAATGTACACATGACCCCTTTTTTGTTTGTCAAAAAAATAAAAATACAATACTAAAAAATACATTTCGATACCATAATATTTTCCATATAAGATTTGTGCACCCAAAGCTTTTCCACTTCAGAAGTAAGTTATGGGTGTTTGACCATCATGACAAACGTTACCGTTTGACTCCGATATGTAACACTATATCGCCGTCTGTAAAGTAAAACAGAACCGTGAGTGTCGGTGGGGTTGGAGCGAATGTGAGTGACCGTCCAGATACAGCAGGCGGGCGAGCACATCATACAGCTCCTGTGTCGTTTTCGTCACTTCTAAGCTAAACTATTTTTCTATACCTCTGCCCAATTATACAATGAATTATATATTTAATTAAGTAGATAGATAGAGAGAGAGAGAGAGACAGCTGTGGTGTGCTGTGCTCTGCGTTCCTTTCATTCTCATTCTGAGTCAATATAGACACTAATCAATCTCTATTCGGCACTTCATCGATCTTCATTTTCCTGGTGTGAATTTCTATTCATCGATCTGTATTAGTGAAGGTTTCGGCGTTAGATCTGGCGTATATTTGATTGATCAATCAAGAGGCATTGCGTTGATTTGTGACGGAGGTTACGATAACGCTCAGATCTTTACTCGAGGTAATAATTGTGTCTTCTAGCGGTGCATTTTGCTTAATTTCCTGTTTGGTAGCTGGGAAAATTTAGGAAAATAGAAAGAGTACATTTTTTTGACGGAAATTCCCTCTTAACTAAGCGTTACATTGACTATTGGCTTACTTTCATTATATCTCCTTTTCATTTGCCCAGTTATCTTAATATCCAAACAGGGGACTAGAAATTGGTAACTTTTTTTTTTTCATGGCAATATTTAGGGGGGAACTTGTTGAAGGAGGTAATCTAATTCTTTAATGTCTATTTTTTCCCCCAGGGGTAGAGGCACAGATCTGGGCTGCCAATTGAGCAAATTCTAGTGAAAAGATACTGCTTTTGAAGCTGAAGATTTTGAAAAAGCAGATTCTAATATTGTTATATTTTGCATTTGAAGGTGCAAAATCTTTAGGCATGTCGGCAATATCTCTGGGTGACACTAAAACTTGATTAGTTTCAGTCCATCGTTCTCATTTCTCAGCAAACAAAGAGGCTATGGAATCAGAAGGAGAAACTGGGGTTAGTATTAAGAAAAAAAATCCATATATACCCTATGTTTAGGTACATTTAAAGAGTGAACTTTGATGGTTTATTGCCACCGTTTTGGTGACTTTTTGTTAGATTTGGGTATGCTAATTTCTTCTAGATCTTCCAGTAAGTGGGTTCTGCTATTTGCCAGCTGAATCTTATGAATTGTATAGAAATAGATTTTGTATTAACTAATCCAAAACAATCTGTGTGTGAGCATACGATTTTATAGCAGTTTTCCTGTTTATATGACTGCATAGGTTTGATCTGAACTTTTTATCAGAAAGAATATGTGGGTCCGTAATCATTTGTTATTTGGGTTTTAAATTGGGTGAATTATTGTGATTGTTTACTCAGGGGAAGTCCTTGAAGAGCTTGGGTGGTCAGGTCTGCCAGATCTGTGGTGATAATGTTGGCACAACTGTGGAGGGTGAACCATTTGTTGCTTGCGATGTCTGTGCATTTCCTGTCTGCAGGCCGTGCTACGAGTACGAGAGGAAGGACGGAAATCAGTCTTGCCCTCAATGCAAGACCAGATATAAAAGACATAAAGGTTTGTTCAATGCTTGACTGAATGAGCATTACATGGAAGAATATTTACAGGGGCAAAATATTTATTGATTTATATTTATGTGTATCTGCTTGATGGATCTACTATGTATAGGGAAAATGAGAAGTGGTATTGTGTAGACATGATGGAACATTAACAGCACTGTCTGATTTTCTGGAAATAATTGAACATTGACAAAAGTAGCATTTTGATTTGACTTTTGACGTTAAGTACCTGTAACTAGATTATGCAATGATTTATTAATTTGTAGATAGTTATTTGCCAACGTATTAGAGTTGTGAATAATTACGTGAAATATCAAACAATTTTCGAGCCAAAAACTTTTGAAAGATTCTAGATACTTGTCAATGTGGATATGCTGCCCCTGTTACTGCTATGCCAAAATTTGTTATCTCCACTAGGTAATTAACTTTTTTCTACATATGTTCTGGAATATTTACTGCATTTTCAACAGCTGTTGACAAATTTGCAATCTCAATATGAGTGTCATTTATCTTCCGTTTACGTGATCCTAGGAAGCCCTGCTATCCGTGGCAGTGGAGAAGAGGATGGCGATGCCAATGATGGTGCCTGTGATTTTCGTTACGCTTCAGGGAATCAAGGCGAGAAGCAGAAAGTTGTGGAGCGCATGTTGAGCTGGCAAATGGCGTATGGACGAGGGGAAGATATTGGGGCTCCAAACTATGATAAAGAGGTCTCTCAGAACCACATTCCTTTGCTCACAAATGGACAAGAGGTATGCAAATAAGCTTCTAGCGTGTCTCTACTTTTGCATGCAATCTGAATAATGTTCTTGATGGTTTTGTTTTTAGGTTTCTGGAGAGTTGTCGGCAGCATCACCTGAACGTCTTTCAGTGGCGTCTCCTGGACCTGGTGGTGGAGGAAAACGTATGCAGCAGATATTAGTCAATCACATATATCTATTTTCTTGTTCTATGCATTGCTTATTAAGTTTGTATGGTGTCTCCTACTCTCTGGTGGATCTAATTTCAAAGCAATATTATTTTTACAGCTAATATCAGGGTTGTCGATCCAGTGAGGGAGTTTGGATCCCCAGGATTAGGTAACGTAGCATGGAAAGAGAGAGTTGATGGCTGGAAGATGAAGCAGGAGAAGAATGTTGTTCCTATGACTACTAGCCATACTGCTTCAGAAAGAGGTGGAGATATTGATGCCAGTACAGATGTGCTGGTGGATGACTCATTACTGTGAGTTCCACTTGAGTATATTTTCCTAAATTTCTGCTGCCATCAGAGTAATAGATGAACTCGATTATATTTGCTGTTATTGTTGTCAGTCCATCGGAGATCTGAGCTACCAAGTTAATGACCACCTTTACATGCTAGCCTTACTGGTTAATGTAAATATGAAAGAATTTTTTGCACGCTGGGGTTTTCTCTTCTTTTGTTTCTAGGAACCATAATAAATGTTAATCATGTGTATTTTGTGGTTCTTCTTTTCAGCAACTGGATATGTTTTTCATGAGTAGCGCTAGTTCTTTTCTGGGTTCATAACATTGGTAGCTTTACTTGTTATTATCAATTTTTAGCATCATCAGGTTTTGCATCTCTATTAGTTTGTAGCAAATGATAGCATATTGTTGTATGTCATTTAAGCACTCTCATTTGAACTGTGTCAGAGAACTTTTTCCTGGTTCATTGACGTTAATGTTGTTGAAAGGTTGTCTGGTAGTTTCTTCATCTCAATGTAGCTTAGAGGATAGCTTCGGAGCTTAACAATTTTTATTTTTGTTTGATGCAGGAATGATGAAGCTCGGCAGCCTCTTTCAAGGAAGGTTTCTGTTCCATCATCCAGGATAAACCCTTACAGGATGGTTATTGTCCTGCGGCTCGTTATTCTCAGCATTTTCCTGCACTATCGGCTAACAAATCCTGTTCAAAATGCCTATGCACTGTGGCTTATATCAGTGATATGTGAGATTTGGTTTGCAGGATCATGGATTCTGGATCAGTTCCCCAAGTGGGCACCTGTGAACCGTGAAACATATCTTGACAGGCTTGCACTTAGGTTAGGATAACCTGCAGTCATCCACCTCTATCTTTTTCATTTATTTCTTGTTACAGCTTTTGGATTTATGTCATATGATCTTTGATTTGTTTTCTTAGTATTGAATTCTAACCAAAATTATGTGGTAACAGATATGACAGAGAAGGAGAACCATCACAATTAGCAGCTGTTGACATTTTTGTCAGTACTGTTGACCCTTTAAAGGAGCCTCCTCTTGTTACAGCCAATACTGTCCTATCCATTCTTGCAGTTGACTATCCAGTTGACAAGGTCTCGTGCTATGTCTCTGATGATGGTTCTGCAATGTTAACATTTGAAGCTCTGTCTGAAACATCAGAATTTTCTAGGAAGTGGGTTCCTTTCTGCAAGAAGTATAACATTGAGCCCAGGGCTCCAGAATGGTATTTTGCTCAAAAGATAGACTACCTGAAAGATAAAGTTCAGCCATCATTTGTCAAAGATCGTAGGGCTATGAAGGTAGGGATTTTCTTGATGCAGATTTGTGTGCTGTCTTTTTTTTTAGTGCATTCTTTGAACCTTTTGTTCATGTACTTTCTGTGCAGAGAGAATATGAAGAGTTTAAAATCCGTGTTAATGGACTTGTTGCCAAGGCCCAGAAAGTTCCTGAAGAAGGATGGATCATGCAAGATGGTACACCATGGCCTGGAAATAACACCAGGGATCATCCAGGAATGATCCAGGTAACCTCAGTCTCGCATTGGTTGATTTCGTTAAGCCAACATATCATGTTGATTGTTCCTTATGGGACGGTTGTTAGAACATCCGACATGACACGATAAGTTACCAGTCTCTTACACTATTAGTGAAATCATAAAAGTCACGCATATCATAGTTCACTCTTCTGTCTTCTACTTTTATATGATGTTTTTGGTCATCTCATTTGCGGTTTTACTCCCTTCTTTAATCCTATTCTTAGGTTTTTTCCATGTCACTGTGCAGCAATAGGTTGCCCAATCAGCTTTAATTTTTGTTGTGTCCTTGCAGTACTACTAATTTGTCTAGAAATTCATCCTATTTCATTTCTTGCAGGTTTTCTTAGGCCAAAGTGGAGGGCTTGACAGTGACGGTAATGAGCTGCCACGGTTAGTCTATGTTTCTCGTGAGAAGCGTCCGGGCTTCCAACATCACAAGAAAGCCGGGGCCATGAATTCACTAGTGAGTGGTTTATCGTTTTATGAAAACAGTATTTTATTCCTGCACTTCCCATGTAGAGTAACAGTTGATTTAATTTATGTCCTGCCATGAATAGTAACAGTTGATGTACCTGTTTTCAGGTTCGCGTATCGGCAGTCCTTACAAATGGACCCTTCTTGTTGAATCTTGATTGTGATCACTACATTAATAATAGCAAGGCATTGAGAGAAGCAATGTGTTTTATGATGGATCCAAACCTTGGAAAATATGTCTGTTATGTTCAGTTTCCACAGAGATTTGATGGAATTGATAGGAATGATCGATATGCCAACCGTAACACTGTTTTCTTTGATGTGAGTCTTTCCATTCCTTAAATATAGTTTCAGACTATTTTTTTCCTATTATAGTTTTTCTATTAGATGGTAACAGCTGAGTTTATGTGCATCTCCATCGATTAGATAAACAATCTAAGTGTCTCAGGAAGCCGTACTTCAGTCTTATGCTCACAATTATCTGAACTTCCTTGTCTTTTCTTTGTGGAATCAGATAAACTTGAGAGGTTTGGATGGCATTCAAGGCCCTGTTTATGTGGGTACTGGATGTGTTTTCAATAGAACTGCTTTATACGGTTATGAGCCTCCTCTCAAACCCAAGCATAAAAAGCCAGGGTTGCTCTCATCATTGTGCGGTGGATCACGAAAAAAAAGTTCTAAATCAAGTAAGAAGAGCTCAGAGAAAAAGAAATCTAGCAAGCATGTTGACCCTACTGTGCCAGTATTCAATTTGGAGGATATAGAAGAAGGGGTGGAAGGTATAGTTTTTTTATCTATTATTATTACTTTTCCTTGATGTTCAAGTTTAACATGTTTTGGTTTTTTCAAGTTGGATACATAAAACATCATTCATCTTTCAATATGGTTGCATCCATCATGAAATTCTTATGGTTAAACACATTGAATCCTATACAGTTGATCAGAGCATGAATTTGTAATATGCTGTTTCAATGCTTCTACATTAGTCATTTCACGCATATTAATCAGAAAAATCATTTGTCAATTGAGTGAGTTACTTTCATAACCTGTGAGTCGCTGTGTTGACCTGAGTGACATGGTTGATTCTGAATGCAGCATACAGGCGCAGCCTGCTCTTTCGTATTCGTTGGCTTAAGATACTCTTGACCAACAAAAATAAGTAATTACATTAAAGTAAAGCAAACTTGTGATCATTTATGGAGCTGAATACTTGGATTATTTAGTACATAAATATTGCCAGTTGTTATTCATCAGTGTTTAGCAATTTAAATAAGATTATAAAGCATATATGTATTTGCATATGAGCATATGCAGTTGTATACATCCACTTTACTATAATATGATTTAATGTCATTTGTAACCTAGTCCTCATAAATTGGAAGCACAAAAAGTGCTGCATTGGGGTATCAAGAGTCAAGGCTAGCTATTGCCCCCGATCATACTTCCTTAAGTCCCGCGTATACATTAGTTCATTAATTTTGGGCTTACCTATATTTTCCCCCTTTTCTGACGGTGGTGAATGCTGGAAAATGCTTTCGAAAGGAAGGCATTTTAGATACTTTACCTTTTCTTTTCTGCTTCTGCTCAAGGTCCAAATGGAGTCTTTGTGGATCCTTTTGAATTCTTTTGATATTCCTGATTGGCAGGTTACTTAGTACCCTGGTCAGCTGAGTTTAAAAATGTGACAGAATACTGGGCCACTAAAGGCCTGAATTCAACCCTCCAGCCATGTCCTGATTCTGTAGCACTTCTTCCATTAATATTTTTTGGTATTCCCACCAGAAGAATATGCGGTAACATATTACCTTGATAAAATTCATAACTTGTTTGACAATCAATGGTCAAAAAGGGGTCAATAACTGATACTAAGAAAAATCGGTGGACAATACTACTGCCCTTATTTGTCTTACATAGTCCTCATTCAATTGCGTTTTTCAGGTGCTGGATTTGATGATGAGAAGTCATTGCTTATGTCACAAATGAGCCTTGAGAAAAGATTTGGTCAGTCCGCTGTTTTTGTTGCATCCACATTGATGGAGAATGGTGGTGTTCCTCAATCAGCAACGCCAGAAAATCTTCTTAAAGAGGCAATTCATGTTATCAGTTGTGGGTACGAGGATAAAACGGAATGGGGAAGTGAGGTATGTTGGTTTTTGTACGCCATAAATCTTACCTTCCTTAACCAGTATCTTCGCGAATTCAACATAATATGGCTGTGTTTTATGATTTTTGAGGACCCTGTTAAACTGGGTAGGCACTGTAGGATGTATTTCTGTATGACATTGTTCATCTCTGGATTTGCAGATAGGATGGATCTATGGTTCGGTCACAGAAGATATTCTTACAGGATTCAAGATGCATGCCCGTGGTTGGCGATCAATTTATTGCATGCCTAAGCGATCAGCTTTTAAAGGGTCTGCTCCTATTAATCTGTCGGATCGTCTGAACCAAGTGCTTCGTTGGGCTTTGGGTTCTGTTGAAATTCTTTTCAGTCGACACTGCCCCATATGGTATGGTTATGGAGGAAGGCTGAAATGGCTTGAAAGGTTTGCATATGTAAATACTACCATTTACCCGATCACTGCCATTCCTCTTCTTCTTTATTGTACTTTGCCAGCTGTCTGCCTGCTTACTGGAAAGTTCATAATTCCACAGGTTCGTTATATGACCCTTATCCTCCTATCATTGAACTGTTATTTTACATTTATATTCTATATTAAATTTGAATAGGCAGCCTTTCAACGGCTAGCTTCTATGCAGTCCCTGCTTTCTAGAATGGTGACATCAAACGTGTGAATTTTTGAAACAAGGACCTCTCTCAATTTACTGATTCTATTCACTTGTCCGTTTATGATGCAGATTAGTAACTTTGCTAGTATTTGGTTCATATCCCTCTTTCTTTCCATCTTTGCCACTGGCATACTGGAGATGAGATGGAGTGGTGTGAGAATAGATGAATGGTGGAGGAACGAGCAGTTCTGGGTCATTGGTGGTGTTTCAGCCCATCTTTTTGCTGTTTTCCAAGGTCTGCTTAAAGTGCTTGCTGGAATTGACACCAACTTCACCGTCACATCCAAGGCGTCAGATGAGGATGGGGATTTTACCGAATTGTACATGTTCAAATGGACAACTCTCCTGATTCCACCAACAACCCTCCTCATTGTAAACTTGGTAGGTGTTGTTGCAGGCATCTCGTATGCCATTAACAGTGGTTACCAGTCATGGGGTCCACTCTTTGGCAAACTGTTCTTTGCATTTTGGGTGATTGTTCATCTCTATCCCTTCCTCAAAGGGCTGATGGGGCGCCAGAACCGGACACCCACTATCGTCGTCGTATGGTCCATTCTCCTTGCTTCCATTTTCTCTTTATTATGGGTGCGGATTGACCCCTTTACCACCCAGGTTACTGGTCCAGATGTTGAGGTGTGCGGTATCAACTGCTAATAGAGAACGCCACTGGGGATAGGATGAATTCAATCTGGATTTCCTCTATATGTTTTGGGAGTTGGTTCTAATGTGATCCCCTCTGGTGCTTGTTTGTTCCCATCTGGCTGCCAACCAAGTTGTCTATGTTTTGCCAATGAGAGGAGCAATCTTGTAAGTTTGCTATGATCGATGTTATGTATTAATTTTTTTTTTTCCCCATTTTCGTTGTTTTTTCGTATTGTAATCTGTTGGATTGAATGGAATAACATATATTCATTAGTTTATTATACTGCAAATGCTATAGGACTAAGGTATGAATCTATACACAATCCTACATTTATACAGAAACAGGCTCGTCTTTAGAGTGCTTGTATCCATACAGCATTGGCGCTGTTTCGTGCTCATAGGGCAATTTTTTCGGATAGGTAAAGGGAGAGTTTGATAGAGGCAGGAACACTTGGGACCAAGCCTTATCATGAGCAAATGACAACCTACAGGTTTTGCCTTAATGAGAGAGAACAGGTTTTGTGTTAGCTTGAGCACTGTGATTTCTTGAGGGGTTTTTATAATCATGGAGAGCTTACCCACCCAGGATGAGCAAGATGATCAACAGGGTGTAATACATATGCTAATTGAGTTCTTGGGGGGCTGTGTTACATCACAATTTGTTCAATTCATACCCGATTTATATATAATTGTGTATAATTGAGTTTGTGTGGTGTATAAGTCGTGTTTTGTCGGGTTCGTGTCAACCCATTTATTTGATGGATCTAACTTGTTTACCCGATTGTCTCAAGAACCCACTAAAACTAAACTCAACTATACTAATTTCATGTTCATTTTGTGTTGGGCTTGTGGATCGTGTCTAAAATTATTAAAATCATTGTCATTTAAGATTGTGTCTCAAACGTTTCAACTTTAGATAAAACATGATTGTGATTCACATTGGCTTAACTCTTGAATAAGATGTTATTTTGATGTCCAATGCATTTATTCTACGAGAAAACATAACTTCGACCCCAACCTCACTATATCTGAAAGGAAAAAAAGACTTGTTTATGAAACAAATAAACTTGCGAGAACATAATTCCGAAGTCAAGCACATTATATCTTGCAGGGAAAAAAAAAGATACGTTAAATTTTGTATTCTAATCAAATAATTATACCGGAGCCAATTGACAATGAGTAAAGACAAGTGAGTTTGGTAATATTTTCAATTTTTTATTTTTTTAAAAAAATGAAAAAACAGGAACCTCGGAAATCATTCCTATCAATCCTTTTTCAGATCTTCAAAAGCCTCGGACCAACAAACAAATTTTCAGCATCAACAATCCCAATGTACAACTTTCATATTGAAATCCAAAAAATAATTGTATTAAACATGTTAGGATAATATATTAATATGTTGCAATGTCAGGTTGGGATGGGTTTATAGTATATCAAACTTATTTATTTATTTCTATAAGGTGTTGAGAGTTATGTCGATTATTCTTTCGAATTCGAATATTGATCAGCATACCTCGGACGGGTTTAGAACATTTCCTCCAAAGAACAAGGATGATTAATCTTTCGAGGGTATTAAAAATATTGAACCTGAAACTTTTGAATTACCAGAGACCAGAATCAATTATTGAACCATCTATAAGGATTGTGTTAAAATTTATTTAATTCATACTTAATTAATTTATAATTATGTATAATCATATTCAAATTATGTCAGATTCGTGATGATCCATTTATTTAATAAATCTAATGAAACACCCATTTAATAGCTAAATTCCTTGCAGAACAACAGGTATAACAAATTCCCGGTTTGGGCTGGAAGATGGCAACTTCTAGCATCCAGAGGCATAAAAAGGACAATACATGAACGTGGGCAAAGATTGCAACAAGATTAAGGAAAAGTCTATCATACCAAAAAAGAAAAAAAATGGGTACCATACTATCATTATAAGTTTTGTTGATTTTTTTTTATATAAAATTTAAAGATTATTTATAATTAGGGGTAACTCGTGCCTGAAAATATAGTATAATATAAATAATTTTGAGAGGAATATTATTACCTGTTAGATGAGTCTATTTGAGACCGTCAGGTAGAATTATTGACGCATATCCTATTTTATATTATAGATTTTTAAAGATAATTTGTATCTTTTGAGGATTACTTGCGATCGAGAACAAAATTTTAAATGATTGTCTAATAGTCATAACTTGGATTATAAAAATTATAATATGACCCGAAAAATTATAATTTTTCTTTTGTTGTTGTATGAAGAAGCTCGGATTTGCCATATCCTTGTGATGTAGTTTGTTTTGATTTATCGACAACACGTATGGTGTTGATAAACAAACATGACCTAATTTCAATGAAAGTGAAGTTTCTTTGACTGGTTTTAGGTTATCAATCAAATTCGTATCGGATTTTGACCAATTCATATTTGATTTATATGGCTCGTATTTTTAGTATTATTTATTTATTTATTATATGTGTCTACTATTTAGAGACAATACCATCATCCATTCTTATTATTTTTATCTTTTTTGAGACTCAAACTTAACAAGCGATTCTATAAATCTAAAATAAGTTATTTATCTTATTATTAATCATGTATTTCTTATATAGCTAAATGTGTCAAATCAAAAACTCGATCTGAAAATTAAATTCAATCTCATCAATTTAAATAGAACTGAATTTTAGAAAATCACATCTTAATTTAGAATAGTGTTTTCTAATAATCATTCATTTTTGTCAAATAGAAATATATTAGTAATAACTCTTGTTTGAAATCACTTTGTAACATTAAAAATTGAGCATTGATTGTATAATATTTATATTTTAAATAACAATTTTTTTAATTTAAAATTAAAGTGAATAAAGAAAAATATAAGAGAGAGAAGAGAGCGGGAGGCATGTATTAGTGCGGTTATCTAGCATTGTGGAATGTGTTGATTGAGTTGTCTGATATTAAAGTTCGTATAGAAAAGATGATGTTTTAGAGCAAGAAAAAAATTGAGATGAATTTTATGCTATTGGATCGAAGTAGATGAAAATTGAACTAATTTTAATTGTTGTTGTACTTTTATAAATTAAAAATTCAACTATTTAACTATAATATTAGATAGATATGTATGAGACCGAGAAAGGTACGAGTGTCTTTGAGTATTGCTTGGACTGAGTCAAGTAAAAATTCTACAATTCATATCTATAACATAAAATATGGTAGACTTCAATAAATTTATTTGATGGTATCAGATAAATTCATTCAACAACCACCAACATCTCTCTCAAAACTATTCACATTGAATTTTACTTTTATCTACTCACTTTTCACTCTCTCTCTCTGGAATTTTTATTTTTTATTTTTTTAAATTAATCAATTGGTTTACGTTTTACCGTGTCTTTAGGCACGGGTTACCCTAGTTAAATTATAATTGAATCACATATTGATACATTAAATCCGATTCCATGAAATATGACATAACGAATACATACTCAAGATTAGAACAATTTGTTAAAAATAATATTTCATAACGACTAGTTTCATTTGCATAGGATTCTATTTTTACTTGTCGGAAAAAAAGATTTGTGTAATGACAAAATTTGTCAGGTAATATAACATAAAAGTAATGTCAAAATTATAATTGTTGATGATTTGACTTAATTTAATAAAGTAGTGTTGCCTCTCTTCGGTGTGCTTCTCACGTGTACTTTCTTTTGATTCTTGATGGATTTGATGATGACGAGGGCTTGATCGACATGTTTCTTGATATTTGATTTGGTAGATTTGGTGAAGATAGGGGTTTGATTAGCGTGTTCCTCAATCTTTGATTTGATTGACTTTGGTTGATTTGTTAAAGACGAAAGTCGGATTGACGTGATTCTCGTTCTTCAATCTTTGATTTGGTGGATTTGCTGAAGACAAGGGTCAGATTGACGCGAATCTTGTTCTTTGATCTTTGACTTGATTTTGTCGAATCTTTTCACCGTTCTTTGTGTTGAATGACTTAAAGATGATTTGGATCTCTTTAAGAAGGACCTTGACAGTGTTTCGTTTCCTTAGAGATTGATTTGCAAGACCTCAGTTGGAAATAGACTTCGATAGAGCTTTGCTTTTGATTTTTCTTTCTTCTCCAGAGATGGACTCGGGTAGAGTTTCTTGATCATCCCATCTCCTTGGCATCCCAGACCTCTATTTATAGTGTTAAGAATAATTATTCATATAAGGGTGATAGTTATCCATATAAGGGTACTTTTACTTGACTATCCTTATATGAGCTTTAAGTAGTGGGCTATCCATAAATTTGTAGGTCTTAGCTGATTTATAGAATTTAAGTCCAATCCAATTAACCTTTAAAAGTCTTTTTAATTTGGGGTTATGAAATTTAAGTTCAAACCGATTTAATTTGAACTTCTATTATTTGGGCTCATGGAATTTAGATCCATTTTAATTTAATTTAACAAGATTGGTTAATTACATTTGGGCTGTGGAATTTAGATTCAACTCAAGCCTATTTGATTTGTCTTATTTAGGCTTATGGAATTTAGGTCCAACTCAATTTTATTTATCTAATTAATTTATATCCAATTATAGACATTAATTTGTTAATTTTTTAATGTCAACAATTTGATTTTGAAGTCCAAGCCATTGTAGACATAATTCGATTTCCATATTTTTTTTCTCAATTTTCACTTACCGTATAAAACATAATACAATGTAGTTAAAAAGAGTTGAAATCGCTATAAACTAAATTTGTTTTATCCTCTTAAAATAACTCACACACCAAGTATATTGATTACGTTTTATCTGAATGTAATGAATTTTACTCGAATTTATTCAATCTATTTGATTGGTGGGACCTAAAATATTTATACCATTCATTGCATGAAAGGAAAGTATATGGGGAGAATGGATTGCAATAGCTTTTGACTAATAAGTTGTTGGGGGTTGGCTCTATGAACATGCACTATTCTTTATAGATAGGTGTGACTTGCTATCTTCCTTAAACAAGAGGAGCAAGAACCTCTGACAAATGCAACCATTGACCTCATGGCCAAGTCATATTTCTCAATAATGCAATTCTATGTTTTTCTCATTTAAAAAAAAAGAGAGTTTGAATAACAATTGAAGAAAAGAACAATGATACAATCCGCGATTAAAAAAATTCGGGTAAATCCCATTTTGGCCATGAAAGATACGAAAAGTTTTAGTTTGTCCTCCAAATGATTAATATTTTCACATTGTTCTCTTAAAGAAATAAAAACGTTGTAATTTGGTCTGCTGTCTTATATCCGTTTATTTTTTCTTATGTTTTTTTATTCCTCATTGGTTGATTTGA